GTTTTGATGTTGGGTGTACAGGTTTTTGTGTCATGCTGTTTGTGTTAACCTTAGATAAGCTGGAGAACCAGTCTGGGGCATAATTTTCTTATCTGTGAGGTAATAGTACACCCTACCTTCTTGTTTGCTGGGAGAATTAAGTGAAGTAAGTCCTGTCACATGCTTCTCAGGGCGCTTGTCACATGGTTGCTTCTCAGTGTCAGTGGAATCGCTGTGGGTGCTTGATACTACTTTTATCACTTGTACTAAAAGATACCCTGAGTTGTGAGCTGGACTGTTAGGTCAGGTCACTCAGCAGGGTCCTGAGAGAGTGGCCCCTCACTCCCACCCCTGTTCCTTGTAGTACTGGGGTTTGGACTCAGGTCTTTGTGCTTATCCAGTGCTCCAAAATGACGCCCCCCTCGACAATCTTCTATAGGCTCTCCGAACATACTTAAGAACTAAAGCATGATCCGACAGTGTTGCTGGTAGGTATCTGTGTGTCTTTCTGCTCCCAGTCCTTGATTTCCCTGTCCCCCTCCTCCCTGGGGAGGTAGATCTGTGACCCCTTGGAGAACCTTCCCAAGGTGTGGTTCAGGAAGAACCGAATGGTGAAGGCAATCTGCCGAGTATGTGCAAAGCCAGGGGGTCAGCCAGCTGCTAACCCTGGTGGAGTTTCTCTCTGGCAGCCTCCTGTTGGCCATAGATGTGCCAGCCTGTGATGTTGGCAGCCATATGAACCTGAGATGAGGCTGTGGAGATCCGTCCTGTGTGTGCTGTGCCTTGGGTTGCTGAGAGGGTTCCAGGAAGGGATGAGCCCTCCTCCTGTGCCTGTAGCCTGCCGAAGCCCCCTACGGTTCCTCTCCGTTCTCACTCTGCCCTCAGTGCTCAGCTGGGCAGATGCTGTGGTGGGCGCTGCCCCCTCTGACCTCCTAGGAACGGGATGTGATGGTGGCGCCGAGGATTGAGGCCATTTGGCTTTTCAGTGCTCTGAAATAGGCCTCTGGGAGATTAAGCCCGGGCCACAGCGGCAGACTTGGGAAGCAGCAGCCTGGTGCTGTGTGCCTCTAGACAGCTGCTGGTCCTAGAAGGGTTAGGCTGTGTCCCTTGTTGATGTGCTCGGTGTGGTGGCCTAGGGCTGGGTCAGCCTGAATTTTGGGGTGAACTCTGTTCCTTGCATGTTTTCCCTTGGCCCCTTTACCCACGAATCACAGGATTTATTTGTTCTCTGTCCTACCCTTTTCTTTCTCCCTGCTCTCTCTGTGTTCCTGGCCCCACATAAACCCTGTTTCCTTCGAGTTCTGGATTGCAGCTGGCCTTGGGAGACCCCTGTCCTTCCTCCTCCTGCTTCTCTACCACCCTCCAGCGTGCTTGGGCACGGCCGTGTCACGCTCTTGGCACTTCGTCCGGGTCTTAGCCAGCACTTCGCCAAATGTAAAGAATCTCTTGCAGCTGGGTGAGGGGTACACACCTGCATTCCTCGCACTCCAGGAAATTGAGGCAGGAAGATCCCATGTTCCAGCCCAGCCTGGGCAGTTGATCAACTTGGTGAGACCCTCCCTGAAAAGAAAACAATAAAAAGAGCTGGTTATGTAGTGCAGTGTGAAGGCCCTGGGTTCAGCTTCCCCTGCTTGGGTCTGCGTGGTTTCAGATCCTTTTTTTTTTTTGAGACAGGGTCTCTTTACGCCATTAAGGCTGGCCCTATGCTCAGTTTTGCAGCTCCCAGGCTTATCTCCAACCCACAGCGGTCCTCCTGTCTCCCGAGTGCTGGGACTGTAGGCTGTGCCACTGTGCCCAGTTCTCAGATCTGTCTTTGTCGCGTGGTGCCGCAGTGTGGTGGATACATTTACTCACAGACTCTGCACTGAAGGATGCTGTTTACTGTTGGAATTCTTGTGCTAGAATTTAGAGGCATGAGAAAGGCAGTCTATTCTTAAAAGATGGGTCAGAAAATTTCCAAATCTAGTAGTTAAAAGCTAAATCCAAAACCCAGGACTTTAAGAAGGGCCCTGTAGACCCAGCAGGAGAGGTGGATCCCAGGTTTGCTGTAGCCAGTGGCTGGCTACTCCTTAAAGAACAGGTAACTCGGTGTCCAAACTGGGGGTGTCACTTAGTGATGGAGTGCTTGCCTAGCATGTGGGAGGCTCTGGGTTCAGTCTCTGGTGCAGAGCAAAACAGAGCAGAACAACACAGCACAACACCCTCAATCTCCTTGTTATACGGAGAACACCTGGGTACTGCGATTTTATTTTATTTATTTGTTTATTTTTTGCAGAACCAGGGATTGAACTCAGGCCCTTACGCTTGCCAGGGAAGTGCTTATTCCACTGAGCCATCTCCCTGCCCTCCCCGCCCCCCCTTTTTTAAAAAAAGCAAAAGACTCACTGGTGGTCTTCTGCCTTGTACCTACCCTGTATAACCTTTACCTGGGTAGGTACTTTAGCAACTTTTAGTTATGGAAATAAAGCGATCGAATTATATGTGCCAATTAGATAAGATCATATTGGGACATTTAAAAATAGATGAGTAACTGGACAACCAGAAGATAAAGTGGCACTAGGTGGCCGGCGGTAACCTAAGCAAGGGTGTTTGCGTAAGTCAGGCCCAGTGCGCCTTCATTACCCACCGTCAAGCATTATTACCACTATTATCATCATTGCAGGGGTTGGATCACCTGTAAGAGGTGGTGGCCCAGGGAAGACTGTCGTTTCAGCGCAGAGCCAGCGCTGGCTCCCTGCTCCTCCCTCTCCTAAAGTCTTCTACTGGCACTGGAACTTTTAAATTAACAGAGTTTTCATTTATACAAGAATAACAAACAGTGAATTTTTCTTCCTGTTATATTTACTAGCTTCAAGTCATCTTGCCTTTTAAACTTTTTGAAAAAGGCTTGGAAAGGGCAGGTTAGGATGCATCTTTGATTCTACCATTTAGTCTCCTTGAAATTTGCTCACACAATTTTAGGATTGTGAGTGTATGCAAAGAACTGGTATTGAAAAGAGGAGGACAGTATCCACGGTCTGGACAGCTTCATCACACTGTTGCGTGTTTCTGTTGCTCGGCAAATGACAGTCTTTTATAGTGTGGTGCCCTCGTTTTTGTAGTGAAGTTCTTAGCAGGTACATGGCCGTGATGAATTTATCTATCCAGAGAAGAAGGATTGAACTCATCAGGGTCCTTGTTTGGCTTTTTGAAATTCCTATAGCCAGGCTGGTGTTATTCGTGTATAAGCTGGGGAGTTTGTATGTCCCATGTGTTTTGTACTTTGTGCACGTTGGGATTCTCTCTCCCCCCAGTACAGAGCTTTATGAAGTATTAATAGACACCACCTTTAGTTAAATTTTCAGCAAGAAAGATACCGAACAGTGCAACATCAAAAATTCAGAAATTACAGACACATTCATAGTTATAAGTAGTATTTGACACATTTCTGGGACATCTGTGAATGAAATAAAGTAAGAAAAAGAAACAATAGGTTAGCTGGCGTGGTGGTGTGCACCTGAAATCCCAGCACTCAGGAGGCTTGGGCAGGAGGATCCTTGTGAATTTGAGACCAGCCTGGGATCCAAAATGAGCTCAAGGCCAGCCTCAGCTGCATAGTGAGAGACCATGTCTCAAAAAGAAGGCCAGCGAGATAGCTCAGTAAGTATCTGCCTAGACAAGCGCAGGGAGCTGGGTTCGATCCCCAGTATTGCATATTGTGCCAGCCCTGCCTCCAGGCACACTGAGCCAGCCACCAAGACCAGGCATGGTGGCCCATGTCTGTAATCTAAGCTCTGGGGAGGCTGAAACAGGAGAATCACTAGGGAGTCCGAGCTGCATAGTGAGACTGTGTACCAGAGAGAGAGACAGGGAGAGGGAGAGGAGGGGAGGAAGGGGGAGGGAGGGGGGAGAAGGGAGGGAGAAAGGGGGAGAGGGAGAGAGAAAAAACAATTTCACTTTTTAAAAACTTGTGTGTCTGCACTCTTTTTGTCTGCCTAGGTCATACTGTTTCTGCTGCAGAGCACTTAAGTACCCCTCCTTTGCCCCCACGTTTTTAGGGGGCAGGAGATGAGTAGTACAACTACTTTAGGAGACTCCTATGATTTAGTTGGATAAAAACAATCATTTTAACGTATCTAGTTCTTTGGCCTTCTAAGTAGGACTACGGCTGTGCGCGTGTGTGTATGCATGTGGGCATGCACACGTGTGTTTTTTTTTTTTTTGTGTGTGTGTGTGTGTTTTCCCTTTTCTTTATTAGAACTTGCCAGGATATCCTTTGACAGTATTTATGAGTAAATATGTTTTGGCTGTTTCTGGGATCATTTTATTATTGATTGTTGTTAGCCTACAAACTCTGTACCATTCTTGGCAGTCAGGAAAAAACAGAGTTCAGAAGTAACTCTTTACAACCCAAACGAACACATTCCCACTTGCCGGCTTTGGTGAGATGTGCTTGCTGGGCCTGGCCTTGTGGGAGTGACACTGATGGCTATTGGAGCAGGCGGAAGAAACAGCTGGACTGTGGGCTAGAGGGGCAGAGGTCCCTGCAGGGCCAGAGCCCGCATCCTTTCTGATCAACCGGTCCTTGTGGGATTCCTGCCCCTCACCGCTCCCCCACAGTAATTCACCCAGGGATTAATTTGGGTTTAGCCAAATCTTGGGATTATTTTGGTTTTATTTAGGTGTTAATGCAAGAAGATTATTGATTCTTCTTGCACAGATTAAAGCGCGCGCACACACACACACACACACACAGAGACACATACACACACACTTCTCTACCTGACTGAAGCGTTTCCAATCCTCATTCTCTGTGCTTAACACAGCACTTTCCATGCCTCAAGTGCCTGTGTCAGCAGAGCGTCTTCCCAGATGTCTGGGCCCTGAAGGAGTGAGGGGTACTCACCTTGTCACCCATGTCTGTATTTGAATATCACAAGAGTGACCAGGTCATTGTGATTTCCAGATTGGCAGCTTTTAGGACACATCTGGAAAGTAACAGCAAGATTACAGCAGAGTGGAGCTGATTTGTGTACCTGATATTTAGGGGACTCACCAGGAGTGAGTCTGGAATGTTCCCTGGCTGGGGTTCCCAAGATTTAGGTGCCGGACCCTGATGCGGGTGGGCCCTGATGTGGGTAGGTGAGGCTGGTCCTCCCGGCCTCCGGGACCCCGCCCAGAGTTGGAGCTGGCTGCTGCTCCCTGGCCCAGGGCCTCTCCAGCTAGAGATTATAATCTCTCTGGTCCATCCTTCTTTCTGCTTTTGGGGAAAAAAATTTCACAATTAAGAGTTTAGATACTTCAAATACTGGAGACTTGTTAGAGAATTTTTTAAAAACTTTCATTTCTGGAATAATTTTCTATTACAGGAATGAACTGTGAAGTAGTTAGCAAAAATGAGTTGCAATCAGTTTTGCTTTTTCTTTCTTTTGATTTCCTAACTCCTGTACCTGGCAGGCTCCTTAGATCGTCTTAATACTTTTAAACTTTTAAGTTTCTTCTGATATCTTTAGAGTATAAAAGATAGTTTTAGGGTTGGGGTTAGGGTTGCAGAGTACTTTCTAAGGTGCTGTAGCTCTCCTCTGCTGCCCCATGGCCCCGAGCCAGCGTATGCCATCCTTCAGGGATCTTATTGCCTGTCTTCCTCCAGAATTTCTTGCTGGGATTAGCAAGAATAGGGTTAGGATAAGTTAGGTAGAATTTTACATAGAATCTAAGTGCCTTTAGAAGTCTCTAGGGGCCAGCCAAATAGCTCAGTGGTTTAAAGCGCTTGCAAGCAGGCACAGGGCCCTGGGGTGGGGAGTGGGGAGGTTGATCTCCGGCCCTGCTGTGCCGGCTCCACCCCTGGGGCGCACCAAGATGGAGATTGAGACTGGGCGCGGTGGCGTGCGCCTATAATCCCAGCTGTTTGGTTGGTTTTTTGAGACAGGGTCTTGCTGTATAGTACAGGCTGCCCCTGAACTCACTGTGTAGCCTAGGCTGCCTTGACTTTACGGCAGTCTTCCTGCCTCAGCCTCCCAAGTGCTGGGATTACAGGCATGTGTCATCACGCCTGACTAAGCATTGTGTTGTGGTTCTTCCTCATGCATTTGGAAGCCAGTGCTGGGGTGCCATGGTCATGTGTTCAGTCAGCCTTTCTCTGTGCCCTTCCTCCATGTCACCGAGTTTGTATGCCTCCCAGCCTGGTCTACAGAATTCTTTTTTTTTTTTTTTTTGGTGGAACCAGGGATTGAACTCAGGCCCTTGTGCTTGCCAGGGAAGCGCTATTCCCTGGCCCCTGGGTCTACAGAATTCTAGGCCCATCTGAACTGCATAGAGAAGCCCTGTCTTAAACAACCAACAGAAGACCTCTGCAACAAGTGGAGACACTAAAATCCAAGAGGTACGCAGCAGTAGAGACAAGAACTAGACAGGTTGAGCCCATGGGGAGCCCAGAGCAGGAATCTTTTCTCTAATATTTTCCAGGAAAGCATTGACAGTGCTCTTGGGCCCCCTGTCAGGGCCAGGAGTTGGTATTTGGCTCTCCCCATCTTGGAAAAGAGAAAACGTGACTCTAAGGAGGGGTTTTGTGCAGAGGGCTGGTGGAGGTTGTGTGTGTGTGTGTGTGTGTGTGTGTGCGTGTGTGTGCGCAGTTTCAGCACCTTCCTGCCTCTCAGGCCTCATCACTGTGCTCCTGTTGTCCCCCAGCCCATATATCGTCCTTCAGGGCTGTCTCTGTCTACCATCTAGAGCTTCTGCATCTAAGAACACAGGCCCCGCCTCTGGGTCTCAGCACCCTGCCCACAGCCTCGCCCTGTAGCTTTTCCCACTGGTGTGAAGTGACTGCTTCTAGAGGAGATGCGGGAGACATCCTTTCTTCAGGGCCGCGGCTGTTTGAGTGGGTCTGTGGCCTGTGAAGTCTGGCTTGTGGTCTGCGGGTGGTGGGTACTGAGTATGAGTTCTGCGGGAAGAGGAGACTCCGGGGTGTGAGGGTGGCGGTCCCTGCTGCTCCCAGCCATGCTCCTCCAATTTCCCTTCCTTAGCCCTCTGTCTTCCTTCTTTGTGTCTTTCCTTTAAGGCCAGTTTGGCCATGAGGAGCTCAGCAGGAGCCAGCAGTGGGGTACTGGAGGCTGTACTGGGGAGCCCAGGAAGGAGGGAACCCAGCCAGCCCAGAAGACCTCAAGCCTGACTCCTAGATCTGGGAGATTTGTGTCTGCTGTGTGGAATGTCACTACACTGGGAATGCCGGCTCTGGGGTCCCCTCTTAGTGTCATGTGGTGACAGATGAGTGGGTCTTATCAGTTCCAGTCCTCAGAGCCCCAGGACGCCTGGAGGCGCAAGAGCCTTTACGCACAGCCATCCCAGCTAGGAGATCTGTCCCTCCTCTAAGGCTTGCTCCTCCTCCCGTCTGCCTACCCAGCTTTCTCTTGTAATTCAGGCCTGGCCTCTCCCTGCCCAGAGCAACCTGGAGGACGAGACCTTTCAACCATGGGAAGGAGAGACCTCTGCTAGGAGGCCTCCTGGGGGCTGAGACACGGGAAGAAGCTGTGACTAGGTGCCAGCGGCTTCCTCGAGGCCCTGCGTCCCTCCTGACTTCAGTTCTTTGCTTTGTTCTATTTCAATCCTTCCATTTCTACTCTGCTTCCATCCTAATGCATCAGATGCAGAATGCTTCCTTTGGACCTAGGAAAGCAGTGTCATGCAATGGAAAACAAGCAGCAGTGGTTTTTTTTTTTTTTTTTTTTTTTTTGATGAAATTCTCATCGTTTCATAATTTAACAAGTGTCTGATTCATCAGGGCAGGGACTGCACAGTTTGGACCTGGGTATTTAATATTTTCATTACCTTCCTAACAATGAGAGTTAATTATTATGTGCCTAGTACAGTATTCATCTCATTTAATCCTTACAAAAATCCCGTGGAACAGGTATTATTGTATGACTCGCGCTTTATAGATGAGGAAACCCGCACTCAGAGCAGCTAAGGACCTTGCTAAGGACCTTAAAGCATAGTAGCGGGCTTCTCGCTGACTTCATGGCTGTGAGGTCCTGGCTCTCCTGCATGATAACGGTGGTGATGGGTCCTGTATGGTGCATTCTCAGCACATGGGGTGATGGGCCTTTGGGGTGAGCTGTTCTGTCACATGGTTGATGGAGCAGGAAGTAAACCCAGGGAAGGAAAGTAAACTGTGCACACACTCAGTGCTTGCTCTGGGCAGCGCTGGTGAGCCGAGGCTGACACCCAGTGCTCTTACTACTGAGGGACTAACCTTACCCCACCCTGTGTCCCTGAGTATCTCTCGTCCTTGCCTTGCAGCGCCCGCTGGTCTTTTCTTTGCAGTTGCACAGTGCCAGGCCCAAGTCTCTTATCTTAGCCTCCAAAGATCCTTTGCCTGGTTCCTTAGTTCTCAGAGCCATAGAGCTTTAAGTCCGAGCCCCAGTACAAGTATGGAACTGTGGGCCAGAGGAGGACAGCGACCTGTGGACTTTGTTTTTGTAAATAAAGTCTTATTGCGTGCAGCCATGTATATGTGTTTACATCTCTGATTGCTTTTGTGTTGTAATGGCTGAGGTGAGTTGTCACAAGAGACCAGGTGACCTACAGAGATGAAAATCTTCCCCCTGGCACTTTCAAGATAATCTGACCAACCCTTGCTGTAGTGGAGCCAGTTACTATTGAACCTCGAAAGCCAGACTACCTCTGATCTTCCTTTAATGCTGCTGAGCTTTTCTAGAAAACGTGGGAGTCACGAGGGTAGAGCAGAGGCCCGACAGGTGGCTGTGCCCAGTAAGCTCTTTCCAGTGCCTTAATCAGGGGCAGTCTCAAAGGGTGTCTGTTCAATAGCGGGATAGATTTTCCTGTCTCCCAGTTTTCCACCCAGTAAATTTCTGAGACTATAAACCTTTGGCTTTCTTTTTTCTTTCTTTGCTACTTCTAATCCGTGGCCAGGCCCACCAGGTTGTGCACATTACAATCTGAACTCATCCTTCCTACCTCAGACTGCCCTCACCCGAGCCAGCACCCCACTGTCATCTTGGGCCGGGATGCTGTAGTGGATCCAAATACATCTCTGCAGGACCTCTTGCCACTTCCGACCCATTTATTGTCCACCCAGCAGCAGCTTCCTCTCTTTGAACTCATAAGTCTCTATTTCCTTCCCAGCAGGTAGTACCGTCTGTCATGATTTTGTTATTTATTTCCTTTTCCTACTCACTGTGCTGTTTCCCCTCTAGAATCCACACTTCATGGGGGCAGTCAGTGTTTTTGTGTTGTTTTTCTTCCTTACCTTGTCCTCCTGTCCTCTGTGGTACATGGCAGGTAATGGTGCCATATGAATGGATGAATGGATTGATGGGTAGATGGGTGAATGGATGAATGAGTGAATGAATGAATGAATGAATGAGGTGGGTAGCTTTGGAGACACCCTCAGAAAAGGCAGTGGAGAAACATTGAGAAGTATCATTGCAATTCAAGAATACATACCCAGTTCCCTGCTCCCATTGGGATATGGGTCCTACCTCTTTGTTTTCCCGAAGCCCAACTTCTGAACATCACATTGAGTATGCGCTCCACTCCTTCCACCAGAAGGACTGATTTCCATAGGTGCTGTAAAGATAAGAGCCCTGGGAACCTTTCCTGGGCGATATGAACCCAGCTTCCGGGGCAGTGCTTGTTACCCTGCGATCCAAATTACACCTGTATGCATATCCACATTCCACAGTACATCACTAGGGAGGTTTCTATTCTAGTCTGTTCTTTTTTGATTCTCCTCAGTTCGTTAAAACAGTACTGATTGCAATGATCACATTAATTTCATGGTGTTTCAAGGCTCCCAATTTGAAGAACAATGACAATGTTTATAAAGTGTGGAACGTTCCTTCAGGAATTCTCAACTGAGCAAAGGACCCACACTTGGAGGTCAGTGTCAGACTGACCGATAAATGCTATAGCACAGGTGTGTAGTTCTAGGCAGACAAATAAGCCTGTCGAGATGGTCCCTGGGTTGAAACCCCTCAGAGGCCTAGAGGGGAAGATTTTATCTTTAGATGTTAGATTTAATTTAGTTGTTATTTTAGAAAACATTTTCCATTAACCACTTTTGTCTACAATATAGGCTCTTCTTGTTTTGTTTTTTACTGTTGTGTATTGATTTTTTTAAAAAAAAATATTAACAGAGCTGTCTGTTATTCTTTAGGTATCTTTTAATTAAACAGACATAAAGACTTGGCCTCATCCTTATCTTCTTACTCATTTTTTCCCCATCCTATTTTTCTCCGGAGGTGTAAAATCACACATATAAGGAAAATATATCTCTATCTCTGTTTATCTATGAAGTATTTTTTTCCTCTATTATTTTGAATTCCTTAACACTTAATGGTGCATGGCCTTCAGTTATTTCTATTTAAAAAGAAAGGCTTAGGCCGGATGTGGTGGCACATGCCACTAATCCTAGCACTCAGAGGCTGAGGCAAGGAGTATCATTGTGAGTTGGAGACCAGCCTGAACTACAAAGTAAGTTCAAGGCCAGCCTGAACAGTGTAGTGAGACCCTGTCTCCAAAAAAAGACAAAAATAATACTATTAACAACAGTAATGATAGTAATGATGAAAGGCTACACATTCTTGTCTTAGATGAGAGTAGGTATTTCTGTCAGAGCTCTGCCTCAAACTTATTACAACACTCCAATCAAATTATGCCCCTCCCTTCTGTGTGAGGGCCATTGAGTATCTTTGCTGACCTTAGAGACCCGAGTACTTCATCCTCTATACATTTCCATTTTAGAGTTTTCAAGGAAATCTTTGTGTTATTTGGAGCTGTCGCTTGAAGCCAAGGAGAAAGCTTGAGAAGGAGGTACCCTCCCAGCCTGTGGGGTGCCGCCAGCTCAGCCTGACTCTTGGCCCTGGAAGATGATCAGAGGCCTGGCCAGGATCCCCGTGGATGTGTCCCCAAGAAGCATTTTGTTTGTTTTCTCTCTTTGGAATGCTAGCAATGATAAGTATGAGGTATTCTGAAATGTGAGTCTGGTTTATTAAGAAAAAAAAAGCAAATTTCTCACTATAAAAGGCAGAAGGGGTCAAGGTGGGAACCGTGTGTCATTATTCAAAGTTTGAGAACATTTCTCCAGTTAAGGAGTGTCAGATACATTTGGCCACACATTCTGACTAAATTTGGGATTAAACCTCAGCTCAGTGACCACAATATGAAGATGTGGGCAAAAGGAAAGTTCTAGTAGCCAAGTTGCTATGGTCAGTCTCTCTTGCCTTTCAGAGCAAGAGAGACGTTACAGTAGCCCATGCCTGAGGTGTGGGATGCGTAAAAGGCAGATTAAGAGAGTGATGAAAATAATGGTGGAAAGCTCATCAAGATTCGGTGAAGCCACGCCCAACTGCCTGTGAGAGCAGACCACCATTATCTCCTCATTTGTGCCGGAAACCCCCTGCTGCTGGCACTGTTGGAGGAAAATGCCTCAGATTGGCGTTCATGAGACATTGTCCAGTCAGGTTTGTTCTCATTTTTATTGTCAAGGGGGAGATCTTTACGACACCACTTGCCTTTCACTGAGTTTTCCTGTGGGTAAGGCCACTTTGCTAGGTTGGGCCTCATACTTGGCTTTTACCAGTGAGGGAGCTGAGACTTTCTGCAGGACCGTGAGTTGTAGCCAAAAGATGGCTGTGCAGCTCTCAACTACCGGTTCTTACTGGGTTACTTCCTGATCACTCTGGGCAAATCTATGGGTTTATTCTGCACAGCTTCTGAATGGCAGGATAGCATAGTAACTGAGGTACTTTGGTCAGGATTAGGGAGACCCACACTTCTGGCTTCTAGTTAGTTATCTGTGAGGCCCAGTCACTTTTAAGTGCTTTGGCTCAGGTCTTTTTTGTGTAAGATTAAATTAACATTCTCTGAAAGTCACCTTGATGATGATAAAAAAACCTTTCTGAGAACTGAGGTAATGTCACTGTAGAAAGGCTATGGCCCTCCATGTGGCTTAGACCATGCTTGTGTGCCCGGGCTGAAAAGGCTGTCCCCTGGCACAGGGCTTCCTGGGAGCCTTTGATAAGGACTCAGTCCACCCCCTTCTGATGATGGAGGAGCTGACAGGCTTTGGTGGTTTGTTTTCCCTTAGTCAAATTTGGTAGTTCTTGGTCTTCCCTGACCTCCTCTATTTCTTCACTCCTTATCTGTCTTACTTTCTTTAGAAAGGGTGTTGCAAAGCTTTTTCCACAAGAAAAGAAGGAAGGACCAGGGCAATGATTGCCTCTTTTACTTGGGAGATCTCACTGGATTCTATGAACCATTCTGGACTTGGCTGTATACATATAGAAAGAAAGGCTACATATGGACCAGGGAGATAGCTTAGCAGCACAGCTCCTGCCAGGCAAGCGCAAGGTCCTGAATTCAATTCCTGGTACAAAAAAAAAAAAAAAAAAAAAAAAAAGCCACATAGGAATGTTAAATTTTCTGAAGCTGACATCATCAAGGTCTTTAAACATTCAGATGATTACACTTGGAACATTGATGTTCAGTGTAGACGGGTCCACCTGACACAGCTCTGTATCATGTCAGGCCTGGGGCGGGGTGGCTGGCACGTTCCCTGTGCCAATCTCTCACTGACACTTTATGCAATTCCTGTGTCCCCAGTGCACCCCAAACACTTAATTCCGCCTGTGTGCTTCTGCACGCTGACGTTGATAGTATTTTAAATAATATTCTAAATATTTATTTATTTGAAAAACTTTGCAAGCAAAGTGCTTAGACTGATAGCTAAAATACACCAATTTTAAAAATGCTTTAAAGATTCCAGGAATAACTTGAGGTTAGAGTTCCTTTTCTGGGATCTACTGGACTCCCCCTCCCCCGCCTCCGGCCCATGTTTTGAGCATGAAATGGTTATGTGGTTCGCAGTCTAAATGTTGCAAGAGAGCTCCGTCTTCCTATTGTGCAGTAGTTGTGCAAGGGCGTGGCGAGAAGCACGGGATAGGCGTGGGTTTGGGCAATTTAACTTCTTCTCTTTACAAATCAGTAAATATTTACAAATGACTATCAGGCAGTTTGGGTACATTGGGTCACTTGAAAGTCTGCGGCTGCCGGTCAGCCTATTGCTGAATCTTCAGAAGCAGCTAGGGTTTGGTTTTTTTGAGTATGCTGATCAAACTAGCTGCCTCCAACCAGCCCAAGAAAGTGAGTCTCTGAAGGAGCTTCCCTGGACGAAACAGTTCTAGAAAATTTGCATTTTAAAGTTTGACTTCTAAAGAGTCCGTTCTTATAGGCTGGAACATGTTGCCGTGAACGGAGGGATCCCAAGAATAAATATCAGATCCTGGCTCAAGTTTCTCATTGTTGCCTGAGATCTTTTGTTTCTGGGGAAGATAATTACAGAATTCCTTTCCAAGCATGAATGTTGTTCTTTTGTGAGCAAGTTGGAATAAAACAAGTTGGTTATTTTCCATTTTTGTAAAATGGTACCAATATAAGGTTGTTTAAAAACATAACTCTAATTTTTAGAGCAGTGGTGAGGTTTCGCGGGCATGTTGGCCTGCTTTTTTCTGTATTATTTGCAATTTGGCAACATTAAAGCTTTTTAGGAGAGAAAACATGGATTCTCCAAAATGGACACTAAAAGATTCTCATTTTTTTGGATAGATTGGACAGAAAGATTATATTATTGTATCAACATAATCTAAACAAGCAATGTTCATTTGGCCTATCAAATTTAATACAAGGAAGTTTGAAGAGTATTTTAGGGTGTTCTATTTTCAGCACAATGTTTAAGTCAACAAATACATGAGAAACTTAAGAACAACTGTGGCCGTGCTGTGCATCTATTTCTATATTAATACTTTCATATTTTAATTTCCTTTGCAGAGTATTGGAAAAGGGTCATTGTGGTGCATAGACCCCGAGTACAGACAAAATCTAATTCAGGCTTTGAAAAAGACACCGTACCACCCCCCTCCCACTCCTCAGGCATATCAAAGGTAAGCCACCCAGATTCCTGTGCCTTTTTTTTTTTTTTTTTTTGTTCTACTGAAACTTATTTTAGCAGAGACAGGCACTGAAGCCAATTTAAAAGACTGTATGAGATTTTAAAAATAACTGCAGCTAAATAAGAAAGAAATTAAGTGGTATTAGGAAGCATCTCCATTGTTGGATTTCCTGCAAACCTTACCGCTTCTGCAGCTTTGAAGGGAGGTGTTTCCAGAAGGCTTGACCGTGAGTAAAGGAATGTCTTCCTGGGTAGGAACATTTACAAAGAAAAAGTGACAGCTTTCAAATCCCTGCCTGTTACGTTTTGTTGGGAAGAAGATATTGGAATGGGTCAAACAAGTGACTCCGTCTTCCTCCACCCTGGCCAGTCTCCACAGATGTCGAGAGAAGGCTCATGGAGTTGTTGACACGCCTGGTCTCCATGCAGACGGTGTTCCTGAGAGATAGCTTTGTTGTGGTTACTTGATGTTTGCCTCTTCAAGAACAGCAGAGAACAGTGGAGACTTTTTCCCTCCTCACATGCCCATTTGTTGTGAGGCAGAGGTCATGGGTGCTGTTGTCGCAAACCTATAGTCAGAGGTTAACCAGCTTGTCCCTTTTTAGATAAGCACGTTAATGTCAGATGCCAAGAAAGAACCTTAGAATCCAGAAGCAAATTAAAAGTGGATTTTATCTATACATTGTGCTTGAGTGTGGGTACATCCCTGACACAACAAAAAATTTTGAAAAGGTGCTAAGAAATGTTTCTATCAGAACTACATAGTTCAGACACACGAGCCTTGACCCACAAGTTCCTCTTAATTGGGAATGGCGTGGTGTCAGAGATTTCAGAAGTTCCTCTAGTCCACTTCTTGCAGATTTTTTTTTTTTCCTCCAAGTCTGATGTTTATGCTGCAAGCAGGAGCATAGAGCAATTGTCTGAAACCGCATTAATGAAGTTCTTGTGCTTCTCAGTTGAGAAGCATTCCATCACAGGCCTTAGACAATCGGTCTTCAGCTAGAGACGGGGAGGAACAGCTGGGCTCTCTGAGTAGACTGCTGTATGTCTGCCTTTGCTGGGCGATTAGCGTGATGGTAGTCATAGCAACCAGAGCATCTCCATAGTAACGCGTAGCCGAGACAGGTGCAGTTGCATCACAAGGCTGTTTGTTGCCTGGCAAAAGGACAGGCCATTAGTACTAAGATATACGCTGTTGCCTTAGAAACAAATAACCCTACATAGCAACTACAGTTGGTTTGCAAGGTTTGAAAAAAAAGGTTGTAGCAGCTTTTGTCTGTGTTCATAAAAATCACTGGAAGCATACTTTATTTGAAATGACAGCTTGAGGTCATATAGCTGTAGGAGATAAAATGGGATTTTCCAGAGCAGCCCAGCCGACATTGTAGAAATGTCCAGAAGGACAGAGCCATATGCTTAGTTTTCTTTTTGTGGCTGTAGCCACTCCCCAGATGGAAAAGAACTAGGACTGGAGTAGAGAACTGCTGATGTGTGGGGTTGGGGGGGGACACGACACTGATTATTGAACTATTTCCCAGATTCTCATGTTCTGTTGTTGCTCTGTCCCCACATTCTCCAACCTTGTGGAGTATACTTGCCTTTCTAGTGTGTCCCTTGGAAGTATTCCACATCTCTCTGCTTTTAGCAAGTTAAGAACATAAGTGTTATTCACTGGGTCATATCATTGGTTCATTTAGTCCACTATTTTGTTGCCAAATGTGACCCCAAGGGAAACAGAGTGATTATTTAATAATTTGAAGGATTATAGGAAAGCTCTGGAGTTTGCAGGAAGACTGCATACTCAGGCATGAGGCGCTGGAAGCTGGCCTTAGCCTAATGACTTCCTCTGAGTTTTTAATATAGCATAAAAATGTCGATGAACCTGAGCTTTAATAGTAAAAATAATTTCCAGCAAATACTTCAGATCTTATCTATCACCTGCAGTTCTTTTTCTCCCACTTGAGTGAGGTGGGGAGGAGGGCATTTCTACCACCTAAGTTAGGGAGGTGCTTAGATCTCACCAGTGTCCAGGTCACTGGCTGGAGCGTGGTGGGGCGGTCCAACTGCATGTCGCCTTTTCCTTGTCTTAGCACCCTGAGCGCACCTCTCTTTCATCCAAAAGCCCAGAGACTGTCATGCTTTCATCCAAAAGCCCAGCGTTTGCTTCAGGATCCTCCAGTGTGTGAAATTATTCTACTAAAGCTATGTGATTATATGGGCGATTATATGGTATTTCTATGGCTTACAATGATATGATGTTCAGCTCAGTTCTAAGCTACTGGCCCACTTGTTGATTGACTCTGGGATGATGAAAGTGGAGCAAAGCAAGCCATTAAGCAGGGGCCCAAAAGATGCTGAGTTGACACGGTCTGGCTGGGTTTATTGGCGATGCAGGGAATCATCTGTCAGCCTTTGTAGGGGTGCTAGGAAGGGCCCGTGGGAGGGAAATGCTTGGCTTCTGTGGAGCTGGTGCTTACTGTGGTGAAGAAGGTGGTGATTATACTAGGTGGGAAGCTATGGCTGGTGCTTGCAGGTGTGCTTGGCAGCAGGTAGCCCTGAACTGAGCTGCAGGTGGCTGTGAGCTGCAGGCAGAACAAAGCACCTGAAAACCCCACCCCGCACTGCGTGCACAGCCAGCAGAGCGCTGCGTATGGAGGTGAGCTGATTGTGACCCTGTCTTTCAGCATGCCCTTTCAGGTGTTTGTTAGGATGTTCCTCTACCCCTGATGGTTTTTGTACAACGAAAACTGTGCATTGTTTTTAGCTGGAATGCAGCTTGCTCAATCACGTTAGCCCTTGTGTTGGTTTCCTTGTGCTGTTGTAACAGTGACTCAAATAGCAGGAATTTATTACCCCCAGCTCTGGGGGCTGGAAGTCCCAGATGGATGTGTCAGCAGAGCTGGTGTCTTCTGACACAGGCGGGAAGATCCGTCCCGCCTCTCCATTGGCTTCTGGTGCTGGCCACAGTCGTTGGCACTTTCGCTTTGCAGAGGCACCACCTCTACCTCTGCATTCTGGTGTTTGCCCTCTGAGCTGTCTGCCTCTGAACTTGTCCTTCCAGAAGGACATGGGTCGTATCGGATGAGTAACCTACTTTATTCTAGCATGACCTCGCTTCAACTTCTCTAGTGACGCAGTTCTCACATAAGGTCGGTGGTGAGATACGGGCAGCTAGGACTTTGACGTTCAGATCTTAGGGGAGCATAATTCAACACTTATTCTCCCTCCGCCTTTCAAGTGAGACATTTTTGTGGTAAAAAATATGGAAAAGCAGAAAAAAAAATGTTCGAAACACAAAATGCTGGTATGTGTTGGGGCAAGGGAACCAATCTGAAATGGTTCCCATGAGCCAAGCTAGGGCAAGTTGGAGCAATGAAGTAAACACTTACTGCATTGTAATCCAGAGTATCAGTATGAGCCCACACTAGTGTGAATAAATGAAGAAGAATGAGAGAAGAAATAAAGTACCCCGAGAGAGGAATTCCAAGTAATTTGTGTGTCTGTTTCTCCATGTAGGGTTGAACCTGCCTCTCCACGCTCTGAGGGGCTGCACTAAGGACCTGCTTGCTAAGCGTGGAATATGGGAAGTGTCTTACTTGCTTTTCTCTGGTTGCTGAGACAAAATACCTGACACCCAGAATGAAGGAAGGAAAGATTTATTTAGTTCACGGTTTGAGGAGGTTTTAGTCCACACTCAGCTGGCTCCAAGGCAGAGTGGCACATGGCAGAGGGGAGCAGTTCATGGTGGTGAAAACAGAAAAAGCATCGAGAGCAAAAGAGGGGAGTGAGAGCGTGCTGTGCGCCCCAGGCTGGGTGTAGCACTCACACCCATAATCCAAGCATTGGATCATAGATTAATCACAAAGTCTAGAAGCCATCCCATGACTGCATGAGGCTTTGGGGGATATCCAGATACAAACCACAACAGGAAGGAACGGGAAGGTGAGTTTGTGGTAGAAAGTTCTGGCAGACACCATCTCCCAAAGCTACCTGTGAAAGCTAACATCGCTGGTGATGGGGAATTTACAGCCGATGGCTTTCCCACTACGTCACGGCCTCGGCTCATCACCTCTGTGGCTGTTGCTCAGTTTCCTGTCACCTGGACCAAGACTTGAGATAAATTAGCTCGTGAGGAGGAGATGTTTTGTTTTGGCCTGTGGTTTCAGTCTGTGGTCACCTGGTCCTGTCATTTTGGGCCTGTGGCAGTAGACTGTATCACATGAGGAGTGGGTGGTGGGGATGGCAAAAGCCAAGACCAGTGGAACCCGGGTGCTCAATATCCCTTTCGGGGATGTCCCCCACTGACTTGTCTTCTGCAGGCCCCTCCTTCTAAAGCTTCCACCACCTCCCAGTAGTGCCCTAGGCTGCTAACCAACCCTCTTGACACAGTGGTGGCGAACCTGTGGCATGTATGCCTCTGTGGGCATTTGCTATCATTGAAATCTAGGAAAGGTTTGCCATCATAGATGGTTCCTTGGGGGACATTTAAGAACCAAATCATGACACAAGTCATCCTCTCCCAAGCTTGAACTGTAGTTTAATGCATAGGTGAAATGTCAGACCTTAGTTTTGTTCTCCAGGGGAAACTGTGTCCAAATTATATACCTGAAGAGCGCTCCTCAAAGCTGTCAACCTCATCACCAACAAGGGAAGTCTGGGAAACAGTTATAGACCAGAGGACGCCTAAGGAGACGTGCTGACTAACATGGTCTTAGGTGGCATCCTGGATAGAAAAGAACATTAGGGGAACAGTAGCAAAATAGGAATAAATTGTGTCATTTAGTTCAAAGTCTTGTGCCTGTGTTGGTTCCTTAGTTATGACAGATGTCCCCGTGTAGTATAGGTAGTTAACATCATCAGAGACTGAAAGAGGGGCATATGGGAGTTCCCTGTGCTAACTTTGTGCCCTATAGTTTTTTTTATTTTTTATTTTTTTTTGGTTCAGGCTCTTGCTATGCATCTCAGACTCATAGTGATCCTTCTGTCTCAGCCTCCCCAGTTCTGGGATTACAGGCGTGCACCGCCACACCCAGTTCTGTGCTGGCATGTTGCACCCCGGGTTCCCGGTGCCAGCACGGCATGTGGTACTGGATATCGAACTCAGACCTTGGGCTTGCCAGGCAGGTGCTAATGCTGCCGAGCTATCTCTGCAGCCCTGTGCGATTCTTAAAGCACAGAGTATCTGAGTTTATTATTTCCATCGGTTTTCAATATCCAAATCATTTTTGGTGTAAGCAAAGTGAAGTGTACTTCCCAGAGCAGGTGCCTTTCCACTTTCTTGTCTCTTGTGGTTACCACACATTTCAAGAGCCGACCTCAGGGCCTTTTGCTTTGACTCAGTGTTCTCTGTGTCCCAGTGCCT